TTGGGTCGATACGAGCGCGTGAGCCTAGGTTCTCTGCTAATACGACGCCGCCCTGTTGTCAAGCCGGTATCAATGGGCACAAGGCGTACAAGCAAGGGGCGCGATGGAGATCCATTTATACTGTAGCCCAAGAGGCAGGGTCTGGGCTGACGTCCGTTCAGCAAAACAGCCAGCTTCTACACCGAGTGTCTAAATTAGTTAATCAACTGACGTAACAGCTAGCTAACCAGACGAACTAAGCAGCTAATTAACTCGCAGACTATCAGAACAGCTAATAAACGAAGAAAGTGGCTTCATGGTACAGTCTTCACTGAACAGATCTTCATTAATCAAACACTTTTCTGGAGTTTAAGCAGACATTATCACCATTACAATAACATTAACGGTATATAAACTACAAATTCTGCGTCATTAAAAAAATAAATAAAAAATATTCGTCATTTTAAAAACATTTGCTGCAATATTGGTTTTGGTTTATATTAATATTCCTGCCGTAAAATTAATCTGAATCACGCGTAAACTTCTGCTTCTGCATTCAAATACTGCCCCCCTAAGCAGGATAAACAGAGTGACCATAGGGAACAGTCCAGCAGATTTGCAAGTTATAATTACGAAGTGTTATTTGAAACACCATACAATGCCACGGGGTCTTCCTTGCGTAGCAGAAGGTTATCTAACCTGAAGATCAAAGCCTTCTGGAATACTCCGCCGTGCAGTCTCATAGAAGTTGACCATCGTTTCAGACAAGCTTACTGCCTCCATCACCAAGGCGGTGATAGAGACAGTAAACGTCTTTGAAACGCAGGCCAGTTCTACGAGACTGCACGACACAATATCCAAGACAGCTGTCACCTTCACAACTGCCGCTGTGTGAATCTGAAATCTGTTATCAAATTTGTCCTACTACTAAAACCTAACTTAGGTCAACTAAATTTCGTTCACCGGGTATTGATAAAGTTGTTCCTATGGTCCGAACAGATCAGGTTGTATACTTGCACCTGATGACGAAATCAGAGCCAGCTTACGAAAGGTTGCGGGTTTAGTAACTTAATGATGAACGAAAATGTCCACCAGTATGCATCATTTTGACATCTAAGTACTTAATCTAGTGTACGGACACGCATAAACACACAGCTAAAGCTTTCGATCACGAGGCCAGATTTTTTTAAGGCTTCGACCGGGATGTTCTTTTGTTAAATCTTATGTGGTACCGCCTGATTCGACTTCTAATGGTTAAGTGAAGTGTTTTCTTCGCGGTACGGTCTGGATTCGTAAATATTATGAAGACGAGCTTCGGCTTCAAAGGGTTAACCAGCTGATTTTCGTAACGGTGAGGTGTAGTGTTTTCTTCGCGGTACGGACTGAATTCATAAATAATATTCAGACGATCTTCGGCTTCAAAGGGTTAAACTGCTTAGGTTGTGTAGCGTCCAATTAGGGCGATTTCTGAACAATGATAAATTTTAAAGAATATACTGATGGCATAATTAAAGGCACTAACCCGCCGTTTATCAAAATGCACTGAGAAAAACCACCTCCACAGCCGGCCAACGGGGCAAGACCTGAGACCGGAACCTCCAGGATGCAAAGCGGGGGTTCTAACCACTCAGTCGTGACGTTCAGTGTGAACAGTTGATAAAATAATGCCAGAAATGACGTCAGCACTGGTTATAGCCTATAGTCCGTTTCTGCTTAACTGAGACCATTAGCACAGACAGCCCACAGGCAAATTTTCACACGGATTATTCGTCACTTCGTTCACCGGAGTTAGGCTTCAAAATATGAGAGTCCGCCACTACATAATCCTGAGGTTCATTACAGGATTCACAAAAGCCGTAGCTATACCCTACCCTTAGCCAACGGCCTATGAATCCAGTCCATACATTCAACTTATTTCTATCAGTTTTAACTGATTGAAATCACATACTATAAGCCTGGTAGTCGAGAACAAACATTCACTGTTTCAACCCTGAAAATTTAACACATAATCATCGTATATTTAAAAACAAATTGTAATAAGTTTACCATCTAACAATGTTCACTTCAAAATGCATTTCTAAGGATAAGATCTGATCGAAGTTATACTCACATGAGTGCAGACATTCTACGATGGTCGTTGCATCCACATAGTAACCGCCGCACAAAAAGCAGATCAAATGAGCGTTCAGGTCTCTCACCCGAGGTTTCCTGCCAACCGTTCCCTCCATCTAGAACCTCAACAGTCTGCAAGAAAAGAACAATAAACAGCGATGCTTGTTTACGACTCTTGCATTAATCACCCAATGAAGTCAACAACAGTGTTTCAAGAACTGTAAAACCTTTGGAGTGTGAAAGACGACACGAGAGTTTCATATGACCTGCCCTGAAATGTCGTTAAAAGAACGAGCAGCTATGTAAACATATAGCTAAAATTGCTGCCACGAATTTCAATTATCGTGTCACAAGACCCCAGCAGCGGAACAATGGCCTGTTCAGATCGTAGTCTAAACATTCTCCGATAGTTATTCAGTTACCCAATGTAAATTAAAACAGGGCTTAAATAACTTATTGTGAGTGCTGTTCCCACTGTAATAGCTCCGTACTTATTCATTACCAATGTTGTACAATTCAGAGCTTTGATGAAAAGGGGCATAAGTCCAATACACTTTTCATACATTTCAATTTATAATTTCGGAGTCAAATAAATACGAGTACTTAAAATCACTTATTTCTCAGTAGCATTTGTAAAAACTTCTAAAAATTTCATTCCTCTTCTGTGAAAAAATGAGAGTAATACACAAAATATGAAAGAAAGACCTTAAACAAGAATTTCAGTGACATGCCCTTTATCCATTAAAAGCATTTTCCTTTAACTACAAGGAAACCATTCTTGTTTCGTAACATATTATTAACTGGAAACTACTAATTTTTACGCATTTCGGAATAGCTTCAATATTAGATGTGAACCAGCGTTCCTCAAACGTTTTGGTGTTCAGAACCCTTTCAAAACTTCTCTGGTACCGCGAATCCCTCTTAAAATTATCTCACACATTTTAATTGCACAGAATACAAAATATCTAAAATATAGACAGAAGGTATAGTTCGTCATGTTTCTGTCCCACTGTGGAAGTGAAAATGTGACGAAAAAAGCGTTGAAAAGAGCAGAATCAACTCGCGGACCCCGGTTAGGAAATACAGGTCTACAAAACAGCACAATTAATATTTTTAGTTTATTTTCCACAGGGTCTACATTTTCGAAACTTTTCCAACAAGTATATTAAAGAAAATAATATTACAGCATATATGATCTGAAGCTTTCACGGCGACTAAGAATAATAAATTCTTCTCACCGTGTAAGGTGGTCTAATGGGGGAAAAAACACCCTGAGGACGAGGTCAAAGATATTTCTCGAAACGTTGGTGTTTTCTTTATTAAACCGCCTTACACGGCTGGTAGCCCGAGAAGAAATAATTATACGAAGTCGCCGTGAAAGCTTCAGGTTACACAAATTTCCAGAAAGGCCTAGTAGAGGAATGATCATTTTACATTATTTTTCGCTGTATGTCGCGAGACCGCATAGGCTACATTTTCCGCTGAACCAATATTCCGTTCTCGAGAGGTTTTAATATAGGCTATTCGTAAACATTATGTTAGCGGACTCTCCGGTGTGACAAATGACGTGCGTCGCCGTATCGATCTGGCGGCTGACCGCCTCAAACACGCCTCTGGGTTCAGAATTTATTTGTGAGCATTACAATTCTGGTTAAATGTGAATGCAAGTGATGATCAAGTCTACTTTTCGAATGTTATAAGACAACATACGTAGGCCTATGTGACATTATCTCGACGCGTCTCTCTCCTTCACAGACCCAATCATTGATCAACAGGCCTACAGCCTAACATTTCGAAATGTCGTACCATTAATAAAACCAATACCGAGGCCGTGAGGACTTCCGGCCTGTGAGTGGCTTAATGGAAGGTCCTGAAACTTTGTGTGACAGAATTTTTAAAATGTTACTTCGTGGGGGGGGGGGGGGAACTACGCAAATTTTTTGAGCATGTAAAACAACATGACAGCGAAAATCAAATAGAACCTAAGTAAACGACCATGTCACTAGAGTTATGACGCCAGTAAGTTGGAAACAAGCTAAGACACGAGAGGTTTCTGTTTTCTCACAGCTAAACATGGAAGACATTCTAAGAACAGCAAACAAATAAAAAAAACACAATGTTTCGAACACACAGAAGGGCTTAAATCGTGATACCCCTTTTGGCCAGACAGACGGGACTAAAGGACAGGACCTGCTAATTAATGAGTTAATTTCATGCAAAGATCTCGTAATAAACGCATTTAACGCAAAGTAGTCTCATTATTGTTCAGAATGCTTTGTTTAAAACAACCCCGGGAGTAAGACAGTGTGCATGATACACTACTACCAGAACATCTGCCCCAACCCCGATATCACTCGACTGGCCGGAGGTGAACACCCCTCCTCTTTTTATACACCCAGCCCGGAATTCTTCAGCATTCCCTCCCTTGTTCATTTATATACAATACCCTGCACAGCAGTCATTGGGGCCATGAGGGCCCCCCTTCCACAGCTGCCACTCAACCCCTGGCACGCCCCTAACTTGCTCTTTTCGGACAAGAGTCCCTTTGACCCCCCTTCGCTCCACCCCGCAATTATGTGTATAGCCTTCAGGCAGCCTTAATTGGGAGCCAAGGTGCAACGACTGTCTCCCCTCCCCTCCCCAGTCAGGCATACAAGGTTCAGGTTCAACAAAAGCGTAAAGCAGAATGTGTCCCCCTTTGACTTTATAGACTTCTATCCTTGGACGTCACATTTTTTCTTTCGGTGTCTCTGGTACAAGGCTATGAAGATGTAGGTCTGTATAAAATATGAGTAGAGTAAAAAGAAATATTTCGGCCATCCGGTCAGTGAAACCTGAGACTCAATCAGATATTCTTCATTTACACTAAAGCATATATATAGTGGGGATAAACATGATCCTAGCCTCACGGAAGGAAGATAGGCCAAACGTTTGCGAAAATGCGTTATATATCAGCAGCAGGAGACCAAAAGTGGAGAGGAAGTTAGTTACATGGAGTGAATAACGAGAGCGAAAGGCAATCGAAATTTAGGCGCCGATATGAAATGCATGAGAATAGCAAAATACACTCGAAGAGACTATAACAGAAACGAAGACGTTGAACGAACTAAGAATGGAACCTGCATCGGACAAATCTTTTGCTTTCGACATGCTGACAGAATGCAAATAGACAGACTTCCTAAAATATTTATTATTTAGAGATTACCAGGTCAAAAAACCGAGGACGACCTTAAAAGAGACATTTGGACGATTGATGCAACTCCTTCGAGTCATTCAGAGGCTAATAGTACGCTCAGTTGGTCAACATATTCGTCGCCTTTTATGGAACCACAAATTCTATTACCGTGTTCACAAGAGCCCGCCACGGTTCCTGCCCTAAGCTAGATGAATCCAATCCACACTATTAAAATGTAAGATGTATTATCTCCCATCTATGCCTAGGTCATCAGAGTGGTCTCTTTCATTCAGGCTGCAAGTGTTCGCTTACAAAGAACATACAAAATATAATTGGTAGGTAAGTTGCATTTATGAACTGTCACCGTACCATATGCCTGGCTCCAATGTTTCATCAAATCAACGGAAAAAACAGATGATCTTACATGAAAGTTAGGTGACCGAAAGCTGTTTATTATTAGATCTAATATCGTAACTTTTTTTCAGGGTCCGATATTACGCGGCGCTAATGTTTCCCAAACTTACAAGTTCGTGCGACCTCCATGTTGTTAGTACCGAAAGTAGGAAATTGTAAAGTAGGATTTAAGGCTTCCATTAACATAAAGTTCAATAGAGATTTCGTGAAAAACAGTCAGTTTATTCAGGAGATGATCTCTGAAGCCCAGGAAAGGACGCTAACAATCCTCATGTGATTCTACAGCTTGTGCCACCGTTTTCCAGTTTCATTTAAAAAATGTGAGTACCAAAAATTGTATAACTTTTCTAAAGAGAGGTATGCAAAATACCTGGCACTGTACCACAAGCTTTTCTGTCTTCGGTTTATGTATTTGCTGCTGTTAAGTTGGCATTACGAGTATCCTACGAAATGAGTAAGCATGACAGACCTACTACGCACAGCGAACACGCGGTTGCCAACGGGAATAAAAAAACCAAGTACTATAGTTCTGGATATTAGACCCATTAAGAATGTTATTTTTCAGCCACAAGGATCGGCCACTTGATGCGGATAGTTTATATGATGTAAGATAATTATAGCTAAAGATTTATTCTTTACAAACATGCTTACGTCCTCCAGACAGCGGAAAATTTGCGGTACAGATGCCTTCTGTGTCTTCGTAATCTAATCCGAGAGCGAGCACCATCTCCCACGCTAATAAAAGGTTCCTTCTGGGAATATAACAGGTTCCTCCAACTGGTCAACCACATCGAAACGAACTCCACTTCTTGAAAGAATTAGTACGAGCTGTGGCAATCGTTCTCTTATTGGCTGGCCAAAATTTCGTTGTAGCGGGATGTGGGTGTGGAAAGAGCACGTTTCTGGAAGCTTCCAAGACATTAAGCGTTATACGAGAGAGCTGAGGTGCAGTCGAAGCATCCCAATGGAAATTTCCGTCAACTCGGTTAGTTTATGTAACAAATTCTGAATCCGCTTACTTCGGGGTGTAAATTACAGCTTAGGGAAACAAACCTGGGCCTGAATCACGGACTTTTTAGACCACAATAACGTAACATACATGGAATATAACAAAGGAAAGACTTGTAAGAAAGCGTTATCATTACATTAAACTTCTAAAATTCCACATTTCCGTCAGCTGTTTATATTTTTCTTAAATGTTCTATCTTTGCAATAGTACAAATATTTTACCTTATTTGAAACTAGTCTACGATAGGGCTTTATAAAAGGAATTCTTTTCAACTCTCTTTATGATTAGTTTCGATGTATAGACGCGGAGTTGCATAGCTGGTTACACCAGAAGGGAGTAAAATTGACTTTTCGCGTGTAATGTATAAATTACGGCCACAAATTGAAGAAGCCGAAGAAGAACAATAGGGTGTTAGAGAGCCAACACGAATAGGACACCGTCGAAGGTCGAATAATGCACTGTATTACGAATAGACAGCCTAAAGGCCTAACTAAATCGGCAAACGTTGAAATTACAACACATTCGGTCAGGCCC